TTTTTTTTTTTTTTTTTATGGCTGCAACACACCCCAAAAAAGTTGGGACAGAGGCATGTTTAACATCTAATCTGAGATGAGCTATGGCCCAGAGAATCCCACAACATCACTGTATAGAATTGATGTATAGGTTTCTCTTAGAGAAACAGAGATTTAGGTTGCATTTATTGATGCAGCGGCAGACTGTGTTAAGTGACAGCATTTTCCGAAGTACTCCTGAGCCCATGTGGCTATATTTAACACTGCAGCATGACGGTTTCCTATGTAATGCCATCTGAGTACTCAAAGGTCATGCACATTCAACTGAGGTTTCCTGCCTTGCCCTACACAGACTGAGATTTCTCTGGATTCCCTGAATCTTTTCACATATTTATGTTTGGTAGTTGGCGAAGGACCTAAATTCTTTGCGATTTTGCACTGAGAAATGTGATTCTTGATTTGTTTGACACTTCTCTCATGAAATTTGGCACAAGGTGATAAGCAATGATCCAGCTATGCTTTCAAAGATTGAGATGCTCCTTTTATACCCAAACATGATACCCTCACCAATTACCAGTTCACCTGCTTACTGTGAACTGTTTAAAAACAGTTTAATTTGGATATTCTATAACCTTTTCACTTTTATTTTTTTGGAGTGTGTTACAGCCAGCAAAATCAAAATTTGTTTATATTTACAAAATACATTTAAGTTGATCAATGAACTTTGGGAAACTTTGGAAATCTTTTTTTTTTTTTTTACTTTTGTCAATTAAATAAAAGTTAAAGAGAATTAACAAATCACAGATTCTTGATTTTATTGCATTTAAAAAAAATGTCCCAAATTTTCTGGAATTGGGGTTGTAATCATTTTTTTATATATATAAAAATAATATTGGAAGGCTTGGTCATACGCATAATGCACTTGTCATACGGACTACTTTCATATGGATATTTATAGTTCTATCATGCTTTATTAGTATTTTTGTTCTTTTAGCAGCTTCACAGTCATTAGGAACTTCAAGGTTTATAAAAGTAGTGTTTTATTGAAAAGAGCTGCATAATCATTTTTCTTTGGGTACTGGTTTGGAAAGACAGTACATAATGACTGAATCATTTGTGTTTTTAATTAATAATCATTGGGTTCAGTTGAGATGGTCTGACCTGTGCAGGTGTACCAGGTCTGAATGAGACCCCATATGATGGTGCTACACTTGTCACACATCTGTTTGACACTCTTGCTCTTTTCCTTTGAGAAGCGATGCTCCAATAGAACCTGCAGGTTGGGCTCATCTTCCTCTGGGTCCTGTTTATATCCAACACAACAGTAAAACACAAAATTCCACAATTTATTTATACAATTTACTGCTAGCCAAATATTTGGACACTTACTGAATTTTTGTTTATCATCAACTCAAAAATGTTTTGATCTAAATCAGGAACCCTTGGTGGATACAGAAACAGAACAGGTACCCTGATACATATTCTATACAACAACAGAGTGTTTCAGAGTAACACTATAACGTGTATAGTACCATAATAATGTATTTGCATACTTTTTATGATGCTTACATTGTAAATCTATAAGGTATCTGTAATGTGTGCATCACATTTTAATTAACATATGCATTTTAATGGGGAAGGACAATGAAAGATTTAACTCAGCTTTAGCTTTGACTGAAGTAAACTTATTGTATTTGTAAAAATATTATATTTTTGTTTAAAGGGATGGTTCACCCAAAAATGAAAATTCTGTCATTAATTACTCACCCTCATGTCGTTCCAAACCCGTAAGACCTTCGTTCATCTTCAGAACACAAATTAAGGTATATTTGACAGCAACGGAACTACCACATTCAAGGCTCAGAAATGTAGTAAGGACATTGTTAAAATAGTCCATGTGACATCAGTGGTTCAACCTTAATTTTAGGAAGCTACAAGAATACTTTTTGTGCACAAAGAAAACAAAAATAACGACTTTATTCAACAATTTCTTCTCTTCCGTGTCAGACTTCAACGAGCGTTCACGACAGTACCGAGACGCATGCGTGTGCATTCCTCTGCTTGCAAACAAGGTGCAGAACATCCGGGTTCTACGTCAGAACGCCGGCTTCTGTATCAGCAGCACCACATGCATGCATCGTGGTACACTCGTGAATGCACATTGGAGACTGGCACGGAAGAGAAGAAATTGTAGAATAAAGTCATTATCGTTGTTTTCTTTGAGCACAAAAAGTATTCTCATAACTTCATAAAATTACAGTTGAACCACTGATGTGACATTGACTATTTTAACGATGTCCTTACTATGTTTCTGGGCCTTGAAAGTGGTAGTTCCATTGCTGTCTATGCAGGATCAGAAAGCTCTCTGATTTCATCAAAAATATCTTAATTTGTGTTCAGAAGATGAACGAAGGTCTTACAGGTTTGGAACGACATGAGGGTGAGTAATTAATGACAGAATTTTCATTTTTAGGTGAACTATCCTTTAAGGCCTATTTTCACTTTGTTCATTGTTTATTATTAAAACCAATAATTGTCTGCAAATTTTGACTGGTAGTGCAAACCTTTAATTCCTGTAGTTTGAGCCGAAGGTGGATCAGTTTGATAACCGTGTCCTTCTGTTTCCCTGAATGTTCTGGCAGCTCCAGGATCAGTCTCTTGCACTCCGCTATGGCCTGTTTCAGCTGCTCTACATCAGATGCCACAACCGAACCCTGTGCAAACATCCACACACTTTAGTGCTTCAAATAATAGGATGAGCAACTCATGCTGAAGCATGTACTTTCATGAGAGGTTTCAATGCATGAAGGGATAAGTTCACCCAAAAATGTCAGTTCTGTCAGCTAATGCTGTTCCAAACCTGTATGACTTTCTTCTGTGGCACACACACAAAAAAAAGATACTTTGAATAATGTTTCACTTGTTTTGTCTATACAAAGAAAGTTTCAAAAAAGACAAAGATAAAATATAAATGCAGGGCTAAATGCTAAATATTTTTTCTATAATTTATCTGTCTCAGATTGGTTTTTGACACAATACCTTTTTTAATAAATAAAGCTATGACAACAAAATCTCGATTCAAATTGCTGTACCAGAGAAAAAAACTATTAAGTTCAATATTAAGTTCACTGAATAAGAAGTTCAAAAATTATTAAAAAGACAAGGAAACAGTAATAAAATAAGAATTAATAAACAAATTATAGGCAAAATACAATAGAACAAAGATACAAATGAAATTTAAGTTACGTTTAAGCAGTGGCGGTTCTAGACCACAGTAACTGGGGGAGCGGGGGAGGCCTCATCATGCTTGTCATGTGACACACAGCAGCCACAATAGCACTGTATGACTGATATAGGCTTATGTTTCATTTATTTTTTCCTTTTTATTCTAAATATTCCCAAACATGTTAACTATATCATGAAATATCTTGATTCTCAATTATGTGTAAGTAAATGCATTTTGCACCTTTATAAATTATGTTAGTTGATCTAACTAATTAGGCTAATGGGCGATGGGCAAAGTAGCCTAATAGTGTAATCTATTAACTATGCATAAAAACCCGTCTTTTTACTTAAGTACCAGATATGGGTGTCATGCCATAAAATATTTTTAATATGACTAACTTTGTATTTAATGTGAATTTAATAAAAACATTGTAAGTTACTAATTATAACACTTTCATGGTACAGAAAGAGCGGAAAGAACATTTACATTATCAAAAAACATTATCACTGACTTCAGTCTAGCCAGAGTTCAATCACTCTCAAAAACTCCCATTAAAATCACTGAAGCTTCTTCTTCTTTTCTAGGTTTTATGGCGAGTTGCAATCTTTGAGCATATCGCCACCTACTGTGCTGTTATGCAATCAGGATTTTCTATTATTATATTAGTTGACATTGTTATGTCTCAACTCTGAAGCCATCAGAGTCCAGGTATCGGTTGGCGCTGCGTGTTCAGCTCCTCTGCCCTCCACACTGAAGCTCCAAACCGAGACAGAACATCTTTTATATTATATTCTTTTATCTAGGCCTGTGCTATATAAAAGATTAAATAGAATCCTATATCCAGTTCTATCACTATTAAATTCATATCCCAATAAATATCCCACGCCCTTATTCTTCTTACCTTTATCCTTTAGATATGCTATTAGTTCCTTCCTATCCTCACTATACTTTATACATTCATATATTGCATGCTCAATTGCTTCTTTCTCACCACAAAATTCACATAGGCCGTTAACATGTACACCAATTAAAAACAATGAACCATTCAGCCCTGAATGACCCAGTCTTAATCTAGCTATTATCCCCTCTTCCTTCCTATTCCTTCCTCTTACAATCATTTTAGTATCTACCTGCTTTTTGATTTTATATAAATGTCTTCCCTTATAATCTAAATTCCACACTCCTTGCCATTCTCTTGTAACATTCCTCTTAGTAATACTTTTAATTTCCCCTTTACTTAATGGAACATTAATATCAATTTCCTTTTTTTAAAGCATTTTTAGCCAATTCATAACTTATTTCATTCCCAACTACCCCTATATGGGCTAAAATTCCTTTCCTTTGAATTCGCCATATTAACATTAAAATTTAATTCATTAAATCTTCTCTGGATGACTGGTGGCTGGATAATGATGTTAAGACAGAAGGAGAGTCTGAGCAAATCACAGCTCTGTCTGGTGTCACTTCCTCTACCCACATAAGTCCCACTATAATAAGCGACCATTTCAAGAGAATATATTGATAATTCAGATGACAATCTTTTACTTATGAATATATCCAAGTCAGCTACATATATTCCTACTCCTGTCATCCCCTTATCTGGGTCTTTGGACCCATCAGTGTATATTTGTGTACTTCCATAAAATCTTCCAGATATACAGTAGTCAACATTTGAAGTGGATCACAACCTTTTATCAAAGTTGTCCTAAAACCTAAAACCAAAATGCGTTCTTGTATTAGGACAATTTTAATTAACCTTTTTTTGATCCACTTCAAATGTTGACTGCTGTATGCCTATATACATTATGTTTGAGTATTCCCATTTCCTCCCATTCCTTTCTCTTGTCCAAAATCTCCAGATCAATTTTTACTTCAGGTATTATCCATATGGGCACTTCACTCCATACTGGAGAAATACTACATACTATATCAGATATCTAGTGTTTTTTTGCTATCTGGTTAATATACCACCCAAATACTCTTCCGTTTTTTACTCACATACTCCCAGCAGTCTTTTGGAACATCTTTAGCAATAGTGTCTCCAGCATATCTTTTAATAGATGTCCAATATGCCAATGACAATTTCACTCTGCGCAAATTCAGTGGCAATTCATTCGATTCAACGATTAAAGCATTTACCGGTGTTGATTTGACTGCTCCTAAACACATTCTAAGTGCTCTGTATTGTATTCTATCTAGCTTCTTTAGCAATGTCTCTGACGCCGCACCATATATCATGCAGCCATAATCAAATACAGATCTAATCAAAGCTTGATACACTGTCATCATTGAGGATCTTTCTGCTCCCCATTCTTTACCAGCTATTGCCCTCATAACATTTAAAGTTTTCCTACACTTTTTCTCCACTCCTTCTATATGTTTTTTTTTTCAAGTGTATCTGCTATCCAGCCAGATACCTAAATATTTGAATACTTTCACTTGTTCTAGCGTTTTGCCATATATTGGTAATACAATATCATTTGGAATTTATTTTCTTCTACTGAACATCATATAACATGACTCACTACTTGATATTTTAAATCTCCAATCTATATTCCATCTTTCAACCTTTTTAATAGCAGATTGAATGCTTGAAAGAACTTGGGTCATGTTTTGTACTCTCTTCCATATAGCTCCGTCATCAGCATAAAGTTCACAACCTATTCCAGGTCCTAAATTATCAAAAATATAATTTATCATAACATTAAAAAGTATTGGACTGATAGCACTTCCTTGTGGAATGCCATTCGCTGCATTAAATAAAGATGACTGGCATGAGCCCACTTGAAATGTTCGATTGAAAAAAATTAGTTTTAACCAGTTATATAATTTACCTTCTATACCCATTTTTGAAGCTTTATATAGCAATCCTTCTCTCCATACTGTATCATATGCCTTTTCTATATCAAAGTATACTACTATCATAATCTCTTTCATATTAATTGCCTTTTCTATATCATTACTGACTTTACTTAACGCATCTATCGTTGATCTTTTACTTCTAAAGCCACACTGATATTTGCTATATTTACTCCTTTTCTCTAAATCATAATTTACCCTTTGAACTATTAATTTCTCCATTAATTTGCATAAATTTGATGTCAATGCTATTGGTCGATAACCTTCAGGATTTGTTGGATCTTTCGCTGGCTTTAAGATTGGAATTATAATTGCTTGTTTCCAAGTTTTTGGAATTATTGGAATTATTCATATTTTATTGTATAATTGGAGTATCAATAAAATAACATTATCTGTAAGATGTTTAAACAGTTTAAACATTACCCGGTCACATCCTGGGGCAGTATTTGCACATTTCTGCAGTGCTATTTTTAGTTCTGAAACGGTAAAATCCATATCCATGCTACTGTTTCCGTTTCTTCTCTCTTGCATAATATTTGAATTGGTTTCCAAAAAAAACCTTTCTTCTTTCTTCGTATTCTTCACCCAATTCTAAACTATGTAATCTTTCTAAAACCTTTCCAAGCATATTTGCTTTTTCTATATCTGATATAGCAATTATATCATTCTCAATCAACACTGGAATTTGCTTTCTCTTTTTCCCTCTTCCACCCATATTCTGAAGCATTTTCCATACTTGATCTATAGTGGTGTCTTTTCCTATAGAAGAGCAAAATTTCCTCCAACCTTCCCTCTTAGCAGTTTTAATAATTCTTCTCGTATTGGCTCTTGCTCTCTTGTATTTCAACATATAATCCATATTCATATTTTTCCTAAGTTGCTTAAATGTCTTATTTCTTTCTTTTACTGCTTTGCTGCATTCTTCTGTCCACCATGGAATCTTCCTCATTTTCTCACCCACAGTTCTTTGAGGTATATATAGGGTTGCAGATTCTAATATTAAGTCTGTAAGCGATTTGCAAAATATTTCAACTGTATCCTCCTTCACCTTATCTTTATTTTCTTCACAGTATTTCCCAAATGCTATCCAGTCTGCCTTCTCATACATCCATTTATTTTGAAGATAATGTCCCGTATTATGATTTCTAACATTTAATTTACAAATTATTGGAAAGTGATCACTTCCAATTGTGTTGTCGCTGATTACTTTCCATCCACAAATCTCAGCCATTTCATTTGATATTAATGTAAGATCTAAACATGATACCGTATTATCTATTACATTATATCTAGTACCTTCTCCAGAGTTTAAGCAAACTAAAGATCTCTCCTCCATAAATTGTTCTATTATTTCCCCATTAGAATCTATTTTTTTACTACCCCATAACCAGTTGTGAGCATTAAAATCCCCACACCATAACTCTTTCTTACCTCTTTCAACCGTTTCAAGTGAGTTTAATGACATGTTTTTACATGGATTATAAAAGTTACATACTACAAGTGAGTTCTCATGATAAAAAAAAAAATCTCAACCAAAACACACTCCAACTCCTTCACCTCTGCAAGAACTCTATATGTCATTCCGTTTTAACCAGTTATATAATTAATTTACCTTACCCATTTTTGAAGCTTTATATAGCAGTCCTTCTCGCCATACTGTATCATATGCCTTTTCTATATCAAAGTATACTACTATCATGATCTCTTTCATATTAATTGCCTTTTCTATTTCATTACTGACTTTACTTAGTAAAGTATCAACTCTATCGTTGATCTTCCACTTCTAAAACCACACTGATATTTGCTATATTTACTCCTTTTCTCTAAGTCATAATTTACCCTTTGAACTATTATTTTCTCCATTAATTTGCATGAATTAGATGTCAATGCTATTGGTCGATAACCTTCAGGATTTCGTACGCACATCTGCACTTTGTTGTTTCTGATGAGAAAATTCGCCAGAGAGCAGAAACCAGTCAGCGAGCGCGCGCACTCAACAACTGAGCGCCTCTGATTGGTCATTGCATTCATAAGCGCAACAGAATTGTGTGTGATTGGTTTTAATGCACAGCGCTGTAAAAAAAACGCGTCTGTCTCTTCTGGCTCTGCGCCAGTCAGCGAACGCAGATTTGAATAGGGGTTATTCGCAACAGACTTCCACATTCTGTTAACCAGGTCTCGTTGCTTCCAGTTCAAACATTTATTATGAAGTAGTTTTACTCAAGATGCCTTCAAATTAGATACCAATGATAATCATAACCAATGTCCATCACATATGTGGACTGATATCTAAAAGTTTTTTTTTTTAAATTCTTTTCACTAACATTTAGATATAAAAATGTAATAAAACGTCAACAATAAAAATAGCTAGCTAATTTAACTGATTATTAATTTAACGTTCTCTGACAAGCGGAAGCGGTGAGACCTGTTTTCCGGGTTTGGTCAGGTAACATTCGACCAAAGCCACTAGAAGGCAAGCCTGCAACCTTTAGCCAAAAAAGCAAAACTGCTAATGCTAACGCTTCCGGTTTGCCAGTACATGGGAAAGGAGACCAGAGGCCCTTTTTTTTTAATGATGTCAAGGGAGGAGAGGCTTCACTACGCTGAATAAAAAGCTTTTTAGAGGAAACAGCTTATCATTTAATGAATCGACAGCCTATCAGCTAATCTCCAACATGTTTTACACTAAGCAATACTTTTGGATTGAAATATTTTTAGAGTTTACACCGAAACAAATGCTGTTTTATAAGAGAAGTCACTGACTTTTTGCGACAGGTGGGATACAGCTTACGGCATTTCTCATTCATTCCTATGGTATCCGTAAACGGCGATTGAGTGTCACACAACTCGGACTGAAATTCGAGTGCAATCTCAGATCACAAGACGTTCATACAATCTTTTTGTCAACTTGTTTTCTTTCATTTAGGACTGGTTTTGTATTTATATTTGCTTCTGATTAATCGTAGGCCTCATTTATCTGAGAGTAGGCACCTCATTTTTTGAGTGAAAAAAAGCATTATTTATAAATAATTTTCACAATATTAAATATAAACTGATGAAAATTTGCACTGTTTATCACACTAGTGTACTTTAATGTTTAATCAGGGAGTTTGCTTTTAAATGCTTTTACTTGTAATACTCCCAATAGTTTGTATAAATGTGTGTGTGTGTGTGTGTGTGTGTGTGTGTGTGCGTGTGTGTTAGCGTGAGTATGCATGCATCCAAACATGAACAGGTCCAAAGCCTTTATGTTTATGTCACATACATATGTGAACGTGAACATGATCAACATGCTCCTGAACACGAATAGTTTCTATTACTTTCATTCTTTCCCATTCACTTTGAATGGCTGGACATTTTTGACCGGGAACACCACAAGTGTGACTTTGTGCCATTTTGAATAAAATAAAAGCCTTTCAAAACGAACTCCCTGATTAAACATTAAAGTACACTAATGCGATAAACAGTGTCAATTTTCATCAGTTTTTATTTAATATTGTGAAAATTATTCATAAATAATGCTTTTTTCACTCAAAAAATGAGGTGCCTACTCTCAGATAAATGAGGCCTACGATTAATCAGAAGCAAATATAAATACAAAACCAGTCCTAAATGAAAGAAAAGAAGTTGACAAAAAGATTGAATCCAATATTTGGTGATAATATAGCATAATGAGTGATTTATAAGCAATTATTTGAGGGAGTGGTGCTTACCACAGGTTGAGAGAAATGGTCTTCAGCCAAGCCCAGATCCACTGCTCGTTCTGAACTTTGAGTTTTGGATTCTGAGGAAAAGATCTCCGACCTCACCTCTGTGGACACATGATATTGATTCAGATCACACACTGATCTTTCCTTGAGCAAGAACTCTTGTTTCTCAGTGGACATTACATCTCTACTAGCTACTAAGTCTATGTGACATGGTATGCCTTCATGTAATCAATAACATAAGGAATGTACAAACAGTGGTTAAGTGTGTTTGAGTTGTACAACTTAACAATAATTAACTAACTCTAAAAAGTCTAGTTAATTGTAACATGTTTAATTGATTTTCATGCTAAATACACACATATTTTGTAATGAGGATCAGGCAGCAAAATTCACAAAGAAAAAATATTACACAAGCCAAAAAGTGGCAACAAGAATGTGGTGCAGTCTGTTAAAGAGTGATATAAGAGAGTGTAGAGAAAAGTGATATTTATTTGACATAGAGTCTAGATTTGTAGGTCATTACTTAATATGCACTATGCACTAATACCATAGTAACCCAAAGTACTGTACTTTATATGTATAAAAGAGACCTTACTCAATGAAGAATTTTTACCTTTATCAGGAACTGTAGCATAAGTATGTGAACTGCATGCAGTGTGTAATGTTTTATTCCTCCAAATGAATATTACAGGCTGAAAACTGAAAAACCACTCAAATGTCAACTGGTTCCACAAGATTGAAATCATCCTAATAAAGTGTGGTCTGCTAGAAGCTGGCATCTGCCTCAAAACATTAAGTCAGCAATAAATTAACAAAGTAAACACAACAAGCTAACAAAAAAACTAACTAAAAAAGCTAATTACACCAGGAGGCGATGGTTCTATTATATATATATATATATATATATATATATATATATACATATAAGATTCTG